AGATCTTTGAAAGAGTCCACTCTCAAAATGTGTTTTTTCTTGCATGTGTCCACTCGATCGACTGTGGTTTGTTTCTCATACTCGAATGACGATGATGTTTTCCTGATCATTGATTTGCTACGTAAGAACTCTTATGGGAACTTCCTTCTGGCTTGTTTTTCACAGAACTCTCACTTTGTCTCTTCTCGATCTAGATGTTCTTCCTGATCATTGATTTGCTTTGCTTCTCACGTAAACTTTTACTCACTTGTTTGTCACAAAACTCTGTCGTTCTTCTCGATCAAAAACGAAACTTTGGTCACCACTAAACAAGTTTCCCATGCATTTCCACAGGTCCGCCTCCCGGACGACTTCTCGATCATCACTCTGGCCAACACGCTCGTCAAGTTCCCCGACCTCCGCACGCTCACGCTCGTCTCCCTCGGCATCTGGGGCCTCGTCCCCGCCAGCCTCGACCACCTCCGCTCGCTCGAGCTCCTCAACCTCAGCTCCAACTTCCTCTCCGGCTCCATCCCCGACCGCTTCGCCTCCCTCGGCAGCCTCCAGTCGCTCGCCCTCGACAACAACATCCTCCGCGGGACCTTCCCCACCGCGCTCAACGTCCTCCCCAACCTCGACACCCTCCAGCTCTCGCACAACCAGATCGCCGGCACCATCCCCTCGCAAATCTCCCTCTTCGCCAGCCTCAAGACGCTCGACATGGACCACAACTTGCTCTTCGGCGCGCTCCCGGACTCCATCTCCAACATGAGGGTGGCGGAGACCATCTCCATCTCGGACAACTTCCTGGCCGGCGTCGTACCAAACTTGAGCCGGGTGGCGAGCCTGCGCACTCTCAACTTGGCCGGGAACCAGCTCGGCCCCTCCTTCCCGGGCCTCGGCCAGGGCCTCGTCTCCGCCAACCTCGAGAGGAACCGCTTCTCCGACTCCATCCCGGACAGCCTGCGCGGCCTCTCCCAGCTCAAGCTCCTCAACCTCTCGCTCAACTCCATCCCCGGGGCGCTGCCGGGATGGATCTTCTCGCTGCAAAGTTTGGAGACGCTGGTGCTGGATCACAACCGGCTGTCCGGGACTCTTCCCAGTGCTGTGACGCTGGCGAGCGGGCTGCGATACGTGGACATCTCCACGAATCTTTTGATGGGGGAGGTCCCCGCGGAGCTGCGGTCCGGGAGGATCACGTTGCATGTCGAGGAAAACTGCTTCTCCGGGCAGGAGATCCAGCTCCAGCAGCAGCAGCCGCAAGAGTATTGTCTCAAGGCGCAGAGGATGATACCGGTTGGAAGTGGTGGTGGGAGTGGAGGTGGCGGAAGCTCTGGCGATGGTGGAAGTGGGGGACCGGGCTCTTCTTCTGGTGGATCCAAGCGGCGGTGGAAAGGTGGCGTTGTAGCTGGGATCGCCGGCGGAGTCATGGCCGTGGGTGCTGCCATGGCTTTACTGCTGGTGATACTGCTGCGCTTCTCCAAGAGAGGGAAGCTCAAGCTCAAGCATGCGGCTGCTACTTGTGCGAACAACTCGTGTGCTGATACGGCCTCGGTGGGAGTTCCCGTGGAGCTCCTCCATAGCACGAGTAAGTTCTTTTAGCTTGTGCTTTCCATTCATTGTTCTTGAGCGTTTTTGGCAGGATACTTGGCTCAATCCGGGACTGTCGGAGCAACCGGACCAAACCAATGTCGGGTTTTCTCGCTGCTGGAGCTGGAAGAGGCCACGAGTCGATTCAGCCAAGGTTTACTCATTGGAGAGGGCGAGTATGGAAAGGTAGGAACAAAGTTCTCGATCATAGTTTTCCAGGACTAAAAAGCCGGACTTTTCCTCGCAGGTGTTCAGAGGAAAGCTTGACGATGGAACGCTGGTCGCGATCAAATGCCTGGTTATCGATTCGAGGCAGGAGATGAAGCAGCTCAAGGCACATTTGGAGTTCCTGTCGAGGATCCGACACAGGCACTTGGTCAGTCTCTTTGGCTACTGCCTCGAGCGAGAGAAGGATGGACCCCAGCACCGGCGGCTCTACCTCGTCTCCGAGTTCATCGATAATGGCACTCTTCGCAGCCATCTCTTCAGTAAGTCCTGCCATTTTTACCTTCCTCTTCCAAAAGTTCCATCGTTTCTCTAGCAAAGTTTCCTCTTCGAATGGTTCCAGCAAGGTTTCCTCTTCCAAAGTTCCATCCTTCCTATAGCAAAGTTTTCTCTTCCAACTTCCATCATTTCTCTAGCAAAGTTTCCTTTCCTAGTTCCATCTTTTCTCTAGCAAACTTTCCAGTACTCACTCTTGGTGGATCGTCCAGAGCGAAAATTGAAGGAGTCTTTAACGTGGCAAAACCGGCTGGTCGCGGCTCTCGGCGCCGGCCGGGGTATACACTACCTTCACACGGGCGTCGTGCCGGGGATTTTCAACAACGACGTGAGGATCACGAACATTTTGCTGGATCACAATTTTGTAGGAAAAGTGAGCGATTTTGGATTAGCCAGGCATCCCGAGAGCGAGTCGTACCAGTCGTATGGATCCGACGTAAGTAATTCTTCCAAAGTTCTTGTGATTATACCAACTTTGTGGATCGATCGCAGCATGTTTTCACACACAACGCTGTCACATACATCGATTTGGATCACAGTAACAGGTATGGAGGAAAGTTTCCATTCGTTTCTTCTCTCTCACTCTTTCTTTTCTTTTTTTCTTTCCAGGAAGCTGGCCACGGACAAGAGAGATGTGTATAACTTTGGACTTACATTACTCGAGATTGTTCTCGGGAGACCACCAACCGTAGACAATCCCATGGCCATGAAACCCAAAGTCCAAGAGCTCGTAAGTTCCTCCTCCTCGTTTTCTATCTGGAGGACTTAGATCTTGCTTCTTTTCCAGGAGATGATGCTGACGGACAGTGTGTTTCGGACGGAGATGGTGGACTCGGCGATCTCGGGAACTTGTTCCGAGGATTCTCTGTCGACGGTGCTGGAGATTGCTGCAAAGTGCCTGTCGAGTGACCTCACCGCCAGGCCCTCGATGGAAGACGTCCTGTGGAACCTCCAATATGCAGTCCAAGTCCAAGACCAAAGATTTAGTGGAGAGTACCTCGAAGACTCCAGTGGAAGAGAATAAACTCCGTCGGCAAGGAAGAGCAAGGACGCGCACTATTAAATAACACCAACACACGAAGATATTAGAAAAGCAGAGACGATCATAGAGGACTTACGACGCGACGCGGGGAAGTTTTTCAAGAACGTTGGAACATCGTAAGTCTTTCTTCGCACGAATGAAGCTCTTCTTATGTGTAATAATTTTGCAGGATGCGAGCATCAATCGAAACACTGCGACAACAAGCAAGTAGAGACGTGCGAACGAAAGTTGTGTAGAAAGTGGTGTCGAATTTAATGCACATCTGGTAGTAGAATACTGTTCACTGTTCTACTCACCGCAAAACGCCAGCAATCTTCTGGACTGTCTGTATGCTCTTCACGGAAGAGAAGAATGGAGAAAAACGACAGCTGAGGGAAATAGCATCCTGGAGCAGAATTTGGCTGTAACAACACGACAGCTCTTGTAAGAAAGATATTTATATTTTTGGTCTTCAAAATGACAGCAACGGCCCATACCTGTCGTTGTGTGACTAATCTGGAAGCGTGGGGCTCCTGGAGCAGGCATCCAGTTGATGGACCTCCCTGAGCCTCTGTTCGGGGTTGCACAGCCCTGCTGTGTCAAGCAGAAAAGTTGTAAGTGTAAAGTTAAAGTCATTTTCAAATAAAGCTTGCAAGAATTTGCACTGGCCTGAGCACTTTGGAATGTCCCAAACGGCAATGGAGGTCGGAGTACACGTCTGTTCACACAGCGCTCGGTTGTCTTCGTGGTTGACGTTCATTGCCAACATCCAAGAGCCCAAGGTCACGTCCTCGTTTGTGAACATGCGAAAGCTGTTAAGAAAGGGTTGCAATTAGTCGCGAAACGCGAAGCGAGCATGGTACCTATCATTGCGAGCAATAGCCAGAGCAGCGACTACCTCTGATGATAACGCATAGATTGGTCCGTAAGCGTGTAAGAAGTATTCGCTGCCAAGTAAATATGCCAGAGGCTCGTACCTGTATTCCGCGGAACTAGACGCGTAAGCGAAATAGAAAATTTATGAAAGACTCATACCACTTCTGTCTGGAATCTGTAATGACAGGTCCTTTCTTCATACATCCCAAGTATGTTCTCGGTGTCGATCTATCCTTGGCTAGCAAAGTTGCAAGCCGGTCTGCGCAAGAAAAATAAAAAGGAAATAGCAAAATGTTTACTTGCATTGTCAAAACAACTTAACATACCGGTTCTCAAATAGATATCATCGTCTGCTTTAACATAGAACTCGGCATCGAAGAGCATATAAGCGGCCTTGAAATACGCTAGCCTGCGCATGGAAGAACATGGCATAAAAGAAAAAGAAAAAACAAGCTTTGAGCAAGCATACGTCTTGTGTGTGAGTTTCAAATATTCTTCTTCGATATCGATGCGTATAAAATCCTTGTAAGTTTCGATCTCCTCCTCCAGCTCCTCCATTTTTCTCTTGTCAGCTGTGTGTCCAATGATAAATCGTATGGCAAGTCCTGTCGATTGCTGTAAGCTGGAAAGCAAATCGGAAAAAAAACATCTAACCGAAGAAAGCAAAACGAGCACGAACTTACGAAACCAGTCCCTCCGGAGAATCAGGCATCCAAGTCTCCCTCAGCGCCTTGCGCCTCTCTCGCGATCCAAACCCTGTCTGGATCCCAACCACGCCCAAAACCTTTGGCCTCGATTCCAGCGGCTCCTGGAGAACACCCGACCTCCACGCCTCGGAGGATCGAAACGTATCCTCGACCTGGTGGCATGGCGCTGGCCCCCAGCCGAATCTCCCCGGCGCCACCAGCAGCGTTAGCAGCACACCAAGAACAAACGCCGCGAAAATCCCCGCGCCCGATCGCAAGCACACCGCCCTGGCCCTGTAAATCTGGAATCTCAGCGCGGGGAGCTTCTTCCCTGGAGACGATGGCATCGCGCTTCAGCTGCGCGGGCATTCCTACCCCGGATCCACAAACCCTAATCGCGCAATGGCGAATATTTGGCATTTATCGAATCGGACGGATATGCTTTGACCACGAGGACCGTTGGAGTTTCCTTTTTAGAGGTTAGGGTTTGGCGTTTTAGTGATGAGGTTTGCGCTCAAGGCGGGAGGAGGCGATGGCGCGCGCTGTGGCGTCATGAATTTTGGGGCGGCGCTGGCGCCTGTGGACACGCCGTGCCTGCTGCTCTCCACGCGCCGAGGTTTGCCATCGTTTGTCTCTACGGATTTGCTGCCGGAGCTCCATCCAGATGCGCGCGTTCTTCACGTCAATCCAGTGCATTTGTATTCCAAGCCTTGAAGGTCCACCAGTGAGCACAATC